GGAAGGTCAGAGAAAAAGAGGAAGATCTCCAATGAGATGGATCAGCCAGGTGGCATCATTGATGGTGTCAAGTGTGGCAGCGGTAGTGAGGTTGGCCCAGGATCAGACACTGTTTCGTTCAGCTGTGCATGGGGTCGCTATGAGTCGGTTCCGACTTGATGGCACCTGACAACCTGACAACATATTGTTGTTGTTGTTAAGTCAGTTCTGACTCATAGGGACCCTGTATAGGGTTTCCAACGAGTGGCTGGTGGGTTTGAATCTCATTCCTTGAGGTTAGCAGTCCAATGCTTATCCTACAGCACCACACCAGGACTATATGTATCTCTATAGATAGATAAAGCCCTGGTGGCGCTATAGGATAATCACTACAGTGGTAACTGCAAGGTTGACAGTTCAAACCCACCAGTTGCTCCTCAAGAGAAAGATGAGGCTTTATGCTCCTGTATAAATTTTCAGTCTTGGAAACCCTTTACAGAGTTGCTATGAGTCAGAATTTCCTAAAAAGGCAGCGATTGTACACACACACACATACACACACACAGGCATTTGAATAAAAAAATATCCTCACTGTGGCTGCAGAATTACAGGCACCTGAGCAGATGGTTTCAGTAAGTCTAGTGAAATGTTGGTGAGGCACACAACCTTCTGGGGTGGACAGAGACTTTTGTGGTTCTAAGGGGAAATGAACCCATTCTCTGCTCTGTGCTTCTCCCTCCAGAGAGAAAGTGCCCCCAAACAGCACTATGACCAAGACGTTGACCCTGGTGCCCTTGCTGGCGAACAATCAAGAGAGGAGGGGCATTGCCCTGGACGGGAAGATCAAACACGAGGACACGAACCTTGCCTCCAGCACCATGTGAGTGTCCAGGGCTGCCCTGGAGTGGGGACTACTGCCCCTTCTCACCACTTTGGGTTCAGGGGTGTGTGTAAAAGATGAGGGGCTAGACGTTTGGGGTACAGTCTTAGTGGCCCCAGTAAGGGTCCTATACCCATTACTGGATATTATTACTGGATTCTGGAGACAGCCTTGTGCCAAACCCCTGCCTGCCCTCTGAGCAACCCTGAGCAGATTACTGGAGTTCTCCGAGACCCTCAGTTTTCCCATCTGCAGAGTGGAGGTGCTGACAGTTCTTATCTCATATAAGGATTGAGATGATCCATGTTACGTGGTGCCCAGCACACATTAAACTAAAACAAAACAAAACAAAAAGTTCCCAGGAGGGACCAGTCCCTGAAGGAGAATATCATGCTTATTGAAGTAGAGGGTCAGCAAAAAAGAAAACTCCTGGGTTCTCTAGAGAAACAAAACCAATGAGACTTGGTATATATAGCTATAGATAACAGATATTGTTGTTATTCTGAAGAGCCATTGACTCGGTTCCAACTCATAGCCACCCTGTATAGGGTTTCTGAGAAGAGGCTGGTGAGCTTGAACCACCGACCTTGTGGTTCAAATTGACTTTTCAGTCCAGCACAATAACCCACAGTGCCACATCAGGCCTCTCTCTCTCCATATACATATATATAAAAAGAGACCACCACTTGTCTGTCACTTTGTTGTACTGTGGTGGCTTGTGAGTTGCTGTGATTCTAGAAGCTATGCCACTGGTATTTTGAATACCAGCAGGGTCCCCCATGGTGACAACTTTCAAATATTTAATCACTGAATTATGAATAGCAGTGGAACACTGTCAGCACCAGAATAATGAATATTGGAACATGATGAAGAGCACTAGAATATTACCAGATACAGTGTTGGAAGATGAGCCCCTCAGGTTGGAAGACACTCAAAATGTGACTGGGAAAAAGCTGCCTCCTCAAAGTAGAGTTGACCATGATGATGTGAATGGAGTAAAGACCCTGGGACCTTCATTTGCTGATGCGGCACAACTGAAAATGAAGAGAAACAGTTGTAAACATCCATTAAAAATCTGAACGTGGAATGTACGAAGTATGACTTTAGGAAAATCTGAAGTTATCAAAAATGAAATGGAATGCATAAACATCGATATCTTAGGCATTAGTGAGCCAAAATGGACTGGTATTGACCATTTTGAATCTGAAAATCACATGGTTTACTATGCAGGGAATGACAAATTGAAGAGGAATGGCGTCACGATCATCATCAAAAAGAACATATCAAGATCTGTCTTGAAGTACAACGCTGTCTGTTATAGGATGATAGTCATGTCTTCAAGAAAGATCAATTAATACCACTATTATTCAAATTTACACACCAACCACTAAAGCCAGTGAGGATGAAATTGAGGAATTCTACCAACTTTTTCAGTCCGAAACTGATCAAACATACAATCAAGGTGTTTTGATCATTACTGGTGATTGGAATGGAAAGGTTGGAAATAAACAGGAAGGATGACTCTTTGGAAAATCTGGCCTTGATGATAGAAACAATGCTGGAGAACGCATGATAGAATTTTGTAAGACCGATGACGTTTTCCTTGAAAATACCTTTTTTAAACAACATAAAAGACAGCTATTTACATGAACCTCACCAGATGGAATACACAGAAATCAAATTAATGTTTGTGGAACAAGATGGTGGAAAAGCTCCGTATCATCAGCCAAAACCAGGCCAGGACTGTGGAACAGACCATCAATTGCTCATATGTGAGTTCAGGCTAAAGCTAAAGAAAATTAAAACAAAGACACAAGAGCCAAAATATGACCTTGGACATATTCCACCTGAACTTAGAGATCATTTAAAGAGCAGATATGATGCATTAAACACTAAAGACTGAAGACCAGAAGCTGTGGGAGGACATCAAGAGTATCACACAGGAAGAAAGCAAAAAAGGTCATTAAGAAGACAAGAAAGAAGGAAAAGGTCAAAATGGAGGTCAGAAGAAACTGAAACTCGCTCTCCAGTATAGAGATGCTAAAGCAAATGGAAGAAATGAGGAGGTACAAGAGCTGAACAGAAAATTTCAAAAGGCAGCTCAAGAAGACAAAGTCAAATATTATCATGAAATGTGCAAAGACCTGGAGTTAGAAAACCAAAAGGGAAGAACATGCTCAGTGTTTTTCAAGTTGAAAAAAATCTTCAAGCCTCAACTTGCAAGAGGGTGGCGCTGTGAATTAATGCACTGAATAGCAAAGTTGGTTTAAACTGCAAGTTCAGCGGTTCAAGCTTACCAGCCACTCTTTGGAGACCTTACATAGGGTCGCTGTGGGTTGGAAGTGACTCAATGGCACTTAGCAACAACAGCAAAGGGCAAAATATAGAATGATGTAGAAGGCATCAAAAGAAGATGGAAGGAATACAAAGAGTCACTGTACCAAAAAGAAATGGATGATGTTCAACCATTTCAAGAGGTAACATATGATCAAGAACCAATGATCCTGAAGGAAGAAGTCCAAGATGCATTGAAGGCATTGGCAGAAGCATTGGCAAGGCTCTGGGAATTGATGGAATACAAATTGAAATCTTTCAACAAACGGATGCTGTACTGGAGGCACTCACTCATCTCTGCCAAGAAATTTGGAAGACAACTTCCTGGCAAACTGATTAGAAGAGATCCATATTTGTGCCCATTACAAAGAGAGGTGACCCAACGGAATGTGGAAATCATCAGGCAATATCATTAATATTACATGCAAGAAAAATTTTTCTAAAGACAATTTTAAAACGGTTGCAGCAGTCCATTGATAAGGAACTGCCAGAGGTTCAGGCTGGTCTCAGATTGGGATGTGGAACAAGTGATATCATTGCTGACGTCAGATGGATCTTGGCTGAAAGCAGAGAATACTAGAAAGATGTTTATCTGTGCTTTATTGACTAAGGAAAGGCTTTCGATTGTGAGGATCATGACAAGCTATGGACAACATTGCAGAGAAAGAGTATTCTGGAACACTTAACTGTGCTCATGAGGAATCTGTACACAGACAAAGAGGCTGTTGTTCAAACAGAACAAGGGAACACTGAGTGGTTTTAAAATAGAAAATGTGTGTGCCAGAGTTGTAGTCATTCACCGTATTTGTTCAATTCATGTGCTGAGCACATAATCTGAGAAGCTGGATTATATGAAGAAAATTTTGAGGAAGATTCATTAACAACCTATGATATGCAGATGATACACTCTTGCTTGCTGAAAGTAAAGATGACTTAAAATACTTACTGATGAAGATCAAAGACCACAGCCTTCAGTATAGGTTGCACCCCAGTGTATACAGAACAAAAATCCTTACCACTGGACCAATAAATGACATCCAATAAATGGAGCAAAGATTGACATTGTCAAAGGACCGGGCAGTGTTTCATTCTGTTCTGCATAGGGTCACTACAAGTCAATTTCAATTTGAAGACACCTAATCGGAAACCCTGTACAGGGTCACTATGAGTCAGAACCGACTCCACGGTACATAACCACCACCACCAACAACAACCACAACAAGAGCATAATGAGAAGCTTCTATCAAGGAAATGGCTCACAATTGTAGAGATGGCAGAGTCCCACGACTGGGTCAGATGAACCAAGATCAGCAGGCAAGCAGCAGGCCCAGCAGGCAGAAAGGCAGGCATGTGGGCAGACAGGCAGGTAATAGAGCAGGCCATTGGCACAAGTCCAAAGAAGCAGAGGTTATAGGACAAGTCAGATGCAAGAACCAGACCCAATAGGAAAGCAAGCAAGCTTTGCCTGAATGACCATTACATTGGAAGCAAGCCACACCCACAAAGAAACATCCTTTCAATTGATAGCCAATCATCATAGAGTTCACTACACTGAATCTCACCATGGAGATAACCACATCGTAACTGTCGAACCACTGGGAATCCTGGCCCAGTTAAGTTGTCACAAAACCTTAACAACCACAACCCACAACAACACGGATTGACACAGTGGCAGCAACAATGGGCTCAAACGTAGCAACAATTGTGAGGCTGGGCCAGGACCGGGCAGTGTTTCATTCTGTTGTACATGGGGTCACTAGGGGTTGGAAGTGTTAACACTATGACACATAACAACTACTTTAAAAAAAAAACAAAAACCAATGTGAAGGTCTCTACAGCTTTGTGAGAAAGAAAGGTATTTATACTCGTTTTGTTGATAAAGAGATTGAAGTTCAGTCAGAGGAGGGAATTGTCCAAGGTCACTTGGTCAGTTAATGGCAAAGCAAAGTCTGCTCCTGAACATGAGTGTTTTGTTGATCCATCAGCTACAAGGCTGCCTTCCAGGTCTCTTGAGAGAGACCACTGCCACAGAAACTGGATGAGCACTGGTGTGTGTAAATCTGTATATGAATCTGTGTTTGAACGTGTGTATGTGTGGGTATATAAATCTGTGAGAATGTGTGTGAATCTGTGAGCATGTGAATGTGTGTGTGAATTTCTGTGTGTGAATATGTGTGTATGAATCTGTGTGAATCTGTATGTGTATAGGAATCTGTGTGAATGTGCGTGTGAAACTGTGTGAATGAATCTGTGTATATGAATCTGTGTGAATTTGTGTCTGAATGTGTGAATGAGTCTAAGTGTGTGAATCTGTGTATATATAAACCTGTGTGAATGAGTCTAAGTGTGTGAATCTGTGTATATATAAACCTGTGTGAAAGTGTGTGTGGCTGTGTGTAGAATCTGTGTGTGTTTATCTTCCACTCAAGGAAGATTATAGGATATAAACTTGCCGAAACCTCAGTCATGGGTCAAAAACAAGTTCTGTCCCAGCTTCTGTCTGGAAAAATGGGTGTACTCTGAAGCTTGCACCCCCTACTCCCCATTGGTGGCAACCTCTCTCCACCCAGTGTTTGGCTCCCTCCCACCGTCGCAGACACGTGTTTTGCCCTATAAATGAAGCTGCGCTGTGAGCTGGGAACACTGTGGTCCCGTTGGCAGGCACCCTGGGCTGGGTGTCTTCTCCCAAGCTCAGAGCCTCCTAGCTTTAACTCAGAGCCACCCTGTCAGACCTTTCCTACCTTCTGCCCCTAACCTCCTCAGCTAGATTTCCCACCATCATTCATATAGTTTTGTGGTTCTTTTCATACCTGAATTCCTGCTATTGGCTATCCCAAAATACTCCTGTCCCCATGTTGGAACACATGAAGTAGGCATTCATATTGAAACACCCAGTACGGTACCTGTCAGCAGTAGTTCTGGAAGACAAGTTTCTGCCAAGGAAAATCATTTGTGAGACTGAGCTGGGGCCTATGTGATGCTCCTCAATTCACTCATGTCAACACCCACTGAGCTCTCTCTCGATGCCAGGTGGGGTGCTGGGGGACAGGGACACAGAGCTGTGGAGATAAAGACAGGTGCCACCTCCATACCCGGCCATGGGGTGACAGCAGGGATTCTGTGTGCCTTGACCCCTAGTGGGAACAGAGAAGAGGGAGCTCAGGGGAGCAGGGAAGGGAGAGTGGGCCACCCAGGGACTGCTTGGTTTGGGAAAGCTGGGCATAGGGTACAAAGTAGCCAAGGCAGGCCAGACCATAGACTTGCCAGCTTTGCCATCCTTGGGCTTGAACCTGGACACTCTTTCTGGATTCAGTGTATGTGTGTGGGGTGAGCACTCAGGAAGAAGCCTGGCTCGGATTGGAGTTGGGGGAGAGGAGATTGATGTAATCCAGGCAGAAAGAGCCAGTGGAGGGGTGATTGGTTTGCCAGGGACAGCTGGTATGGCAGGTGGGGGCCGGGGGGCGGCGGGGGGAGCCGAGGATGACCAGATCCACCAGCATTGCCGGAGGAAGGGGAGAGGCTCTCTCTGAACTTCCAGAGGAACATGCCAAGTTAGAATGCTTGAAAGCCCCCTTTCTTGCCCCTAATACATCAAGTTCTAGGATTTTGACCATGTGCCTGTAAAAGATACACCACAAGGGATGACTTTAGCAAGCAGGAATGTTTTTTCTCACTGTTTAGGAGGCTAGAAGTCCAAATTCAGGGTACCGGTGCTAGCAGAAGGCGGGGTTTTGTCTGTGTCAGCTCTGAGGAAGGGCCTGGTCTGTTTCCAGCTTCTCTGGCAAACTCCCCAGGGCATGACTCATCCCCTCCCTACTCTGTTTATATCTCAAAGGTGATCATTGAAGATACACTCTACTCTGATATGACCTCGTTAACATAACAAAGAAAACTCTATTCCCAGATGAGTTTGCATCCGCAGGTTATAGGCGTTGGGATTTTCATTCACATATTTTTTGGGGCAGAATTCAGTCCATAGCAGCGTGGTTTCTGGTTGGTTGACCAGATCCATGAGCATCAATGGCAAAGGAGGAATATTGTACCCCTTTGGACTTCTAGAAGGGAAAGGTCAGATACAATGCGTGAAACTCCTCCCCTCTTCCAAATGCACAAGCTCTAGGGTTTTGACAGCTTGGTGGCGTTCTCTTCCCCAGGAAGAGCCCTCCCTCCACAGGACAGGCCTGGATGGAGGCAGAAAGGATTCGTCCAGCCATTGGTCTCTGCAGCTGTCTGTATTCTTTCCCTTGTGTTTTCTGTCTGGGCAGCATCAAGGAGGGCATAGACCGGACTGTCCTGGGCATCCTGGTATCCTACCACATCAAGGTGAAACTCACAGTGTCAGGGTGAGTTATTTTGGTCCCAACACCCATCTGCCCTTGTCTTCCTTTTCAACATCTGCCTAATGGATTGGGACACAGAAAAGGGGTCTCCTGCTCACAAAGTGGATTTTCCCAGTTCTGCCTGAGATAATGCTAAGAGGGAAAAGGCAGAAAAGCTGACAATGAAACATATATACTATGACTTGGTGGTGGTGGTAAGTGCCTTCGAGTGGATTCCGCCTCATAGCAACCCTTGTATAGGATTTCCGAGGCTTGACATCTTTTCGGGAGCAGAAAGCTTCATCTTTCTCCTGTGGCCTTGAACCGCAGACCTTGTGTCCAGTGTCTATCATGAAATGTTGAAAAAAGAGATGTGCATATATATTCACACACAAGAGGCCCTGGTGGCACAGGGGGTAGGCACACAGCTGCTAACTGAAAAGTTGGTGGTTTGAACCCACTGGCTGTTCTGTGGGAGAAAGATGTGGCAGGCAGCCTGCTTCCATAAAGATGACAGCCTTGGGAACCCTATAGGTTACTATGAGTTAGACTATGGTCAATGGTAATGACAGGTGGTAGGTAGGTGTAGCCTGAGGCGGATGAACTTGATGTACAAACATGAAAGTCAGTTTCATGTTATAGTGTCTTTTGGAGAAAGATTGGCAGCTACAATTTGAGTTTGTAGTAACTCTTCACTTGTATCTTAGGAAGCATCTACCCACAAATCAATGGTCTTCTTTCTCTTCCTGTTTGTCGCTATAATTACAAGATTTGGGACTCTCCTTTTCAAAAAAACTATAGACATCTCAGGAGTCTTGGTGTGGCACTGTGGGCTAATGCATCAGACTGCAAAGTTCTTTGAACTGTAAGGTCAGTGGTTCAAGCTCACCAGCTGCTCCTTGGAAACCCTATACAGGGTTGCCATGGATCAGAATCAACTCGATGGCACTTAACAACAAAAACAACATAGACATCTCAGAGTTGGGAGGAAACAGTTCTCCATCTTTGCAGGAGAAAGAGGGATTTTTTTTCCCATTTCTTTAATTTCATCCAAAGAGAAAACCTCTTGGATTCTCATTTTCTTTTTCAAGTTCCACTGCCAAAGGCTCTGGCCTTTTACCCAGAAAGCCTTTGGTAGTTGAGCCATTAAAGACAAGCCCACCTACATGGCCATATGTCTAAGTAGATAAAGAGTTCCTTGAATTTTGGTTGGAGCAACCAAGCAGACCAGGAACCATTTTGCATATTTGGTTATCATAGTATTTATCAAAAATGGTTTTTTTTTTATTTTCCTCTAGTCGAGTTCTGATCATCAAGCCATTGAGGCTAGGTCGAATGATTACTATCTACAAGTTTGGGTGTTCTTGTGCATCTCCCCCCACTTTGTATCAGCTGGACGCTTCACTCTCAGCTCTAGCCCTCTGTGGCTATGTCCTTGTCCATGGGCTCAGGTGTCCCCAGGTCTCACCACACTGCGGACCAACCAGCCCTTCCTCTTCTCTCTCTCATCTCCAGGTCTACAGAAGTGTCACCATAGTACTTAAAGTTCACTGTGTTTATCAAAATACAGAGTGTTTTTGACATTTCCCTGAGAGGATCTAAAAAGAGTGTAGTTTCTTGGAACGGTCAAGACCCAAGGATAAGAGGAATTTCATAATGACCAGAGCAATAGCCGATCCTGTGGCTGCTTCCTGAACTTTTCCATTTCTCTCCATAATAGCTCCTCTTGAGAAAGAGATGAAAACACAAGTGGAGTGTAAAGCCAAACAACAGACAGGCCTGTAAAATAAACACTCAGGGCAGGGAGGTCCGCAACAGGGCAGCACGTGCCCAGACAGAAAGCTCAGAAGGCAGGGAGGGAGAGGAAAGGAGGAGGAGTGGGCACAGGGACACATAGGGAGAAAGCAGGGAGGGCTATGTTACCTTGTGGGGATTGCACTCCATGTCACGAAACAGAATGCGCATGAGTTGTTGAAGGGAAAACCAATCTGGTCTGCAAACTCTCATCCAAACTCACAACATGAAGTTAAAAAACTAGCGTTGTTGTGCCATGGAGTCAGTTCCAACTCATAGTGATCTGGTACAGGGTTTCCGAGGCTTTTAAATCTTTACAGAAACAGAAAGCCTCATCTTTCTCCTGTGGAACAGCTGGTAGTTTTGAACTGCTGATCTTGAGTGTAGTAGCCCAACTCATAACCACTATGGTGCCAGAGCTCCTTACAAGAAACAAGTAGAGGGAAGAATGAAGTTGGATCATGAGGCTGCAAGAATGCTGACAGCTGTGTGTTTCATCAGACTGAGAGCTGGGTCTCGCCCTGCATCTGGGTGCTAGCCAAAAAGGCTGTGCTGTTTTGGGCCGACTCCTTGTCCATAAACCTGTTTGTTTTTGTTTTCCAGCTTTCTGGGGGAGCTGACCTCCAGGTAAGCTTCTTCACTTGATTTCTCTGCTTGATTCCTAGAATAATCAAGACCTGGGTTCAATCACTGTATCTGGTGAAATATGGTTCAGGGCAGCTGTGTTTGAGGTGCTAGGGAACGAAGGCTCTGACTTAGATGCATCATTGCAGTGTGGCTGAGATGTAAGGCTGGGATGCTTGCCTGAGACCATGGCTGGGCCTTTATCTGGTTACACATACTCTCAGAAAATGGCTCGCTCCTTGTGGCTGCCCTTTCTTCTTCTTCTTAATTGTGGTTAAATGTACATATCATGAAATTTTAACTTTTAATCATTTCAAAATGTGTAATTCAGAGTCTTGGTGTGGCGCTGTGGGGTAAAGCACCGGACCACAAGGTCGATTTGAACCACACAATCGCGCAGTTCAGACTTACCAGCCACTTCTTAGAAACCTTATATAGGGTCACTGTGAGTCAGAACCGACTTGACGGCACTCAACATCAAGTACATTCACAATCTTGTGCAACTGCCCCCACTGTCTAGTTCCAGAATCTTCTTAACTCCAAAAGGAACCCAGTACTCATTAAGCAGGTTTCTTATCCCTCCAGCCCAGCCAACCACTGGTCTGGCTTCCATCTCTCCAGACTGGCCAGTCCTGGACATTTCATAGAACCGGAATCATATAACACTGGTCCTTTCATAACTGGCCTCGTTCACTCAGCATCATGTTCAGAGGTAGCAGCGTGGCACTTTTTTCCTTTTCATGGCTGCATAGTGTTCCGTTGTGTAGAGAGGGACCACAGTCCTGATGAACATTGGATTATTTCTACCCTTTGTGTATAGTGATGGGTGCTTTTCAAATCACACACAAAGAAGGAACCAGCTAGAAAGTGTTTGAGACACAAATACACCTCACCCCAAAGCCTATTGTCTTTCCCCCTCACATGAAGCCTCCATATTCCTTCTCCCATGGACCCCTTCTGAATCTGGGTCTGCCAAAGTAGCTTCATTGTAAAGAGATGTGCTCGGACCAAAGAGGTGGCCACCTGGCTAGGAGGCAGAGGGTCCTGGGTGAAGCAAGGAGTCATCATCCTTTCCCCAGTCTGTCTGAATTTCCCTGTCTCCTTTCCTTCCTTCTGTCTGTACAGATCCCAAGTTGCCTCAAAGCTCTTTGGCTTTTGGAATCCTCTGGCTCTCCTGATCTCTGTTTTGCTCCTTAGCAGGTGACCTGGTGACACTGCCCCACAACACATCAGCCTCATTGTTGTTGTTAAGTGCTGTCGAGTCAATTCCGACTTACAGCGACCCTGTATGGGGTTTCCAAGGAGCGGCTGGTGAGCTTGAAGTGCCGATCTTTCATCCGCTGCATTCTCTTACAGCGCCATACCAGGACTCCATCAGCCTCACAGAGATTTTTAAATGAAAACAATAATGTACTTTTTTTTGCAAAATTTATTTTAACAAACCTTTCTCCAGGATCTCACCTCTTGTCCCTGCAAGATCTTGTCAGTACAGCTAATAACCAAGTAAGGGAAGGTGGTGCCGGGGTCTCTGCTTGGGAGACCCAGGTTTGATTCCCAGTCCATGAGAGAGGCTAGCATGTTGATAGGGTGCTGAGCAGATGTCAGCAGAGCTGTAGCCTGAGACAGACAGACGAGGAGGAAAGGCCTGGTGATTTACTGCCCAAACTCAGCCGGTGGACACCCTATGGATCACAATGGTCTGACCCGCACTGACCACGGGCATGGTGCAGGACGGGGAAGCATCTTGTTCATTGGCCATGGGGTCGACGTGAGTTTGGGGCTGACCTCACAACAACAACCACATCGACAAGAAACAGCAACAGCAGTACCCATGCCAGGCTGGCATGCAGTTTCTGGACCACATTCTAGGGATTAGATGGAAAGTTCTTCCTTGACCACTTCCTGACTTCTGGGTTTTCTGTTTGTCTTTTATATTTTTTTGATTTTTATTTCTGCTGAATTCTCTTGAACCTGAGGCCATTGGGTGACTCTCGGCAGCCACACCCTTCACAGTGCGGTCCATAACTGTGCCTGTGACATGCGTGTGCGTGTTGTGTTGTGTGCGCTGTGTGTGTGCATGGTATGTAAGTGTAGTGTGGTGTATGTGTGGTGTGTGTGTATGTGGTATGTTGTGTGTGGAGTGTGAATGTGTGGTGTTTATGTGTTATGTGTGTGTGCGTGGTAGGCTGTGTGTGGTATATGTACGTATGTTGTGTGAATGTGTGGTGTTTATGTGTTGTGTGTGTGCGTGGTATGTTGTGTGTGGTATGTGTGGTGTATGAATGTGTGGTGTTTATGTGGTGTGTGTGTGTGTGAATGCTCTCTCTCCAATCTGCCTTTCTTCTTCTTCACAGTGACGTGGCCACTGAGGTGCCGTTCCGCCTCATGCACCCCCAGCCCGGAGACCCAGGTCAGTCCCCCATTGTCTTGGCTTTCTCTACTTTCAAGTTTGTGGCAGCGGCCAGGTGCACAGGGTTCCATTCCATTCCATCTACAAGGTCCATCTACAAGGCCGACCACGGACAGACTAGTGTGGGGTCCTTCCTGGGACAATCAGCTGGGACACGTTGGATGGGGGAGGATAGGTGTGTGTGGATGGCGGGGGCCAGGGACTCTCCAGTTTGGGTTTATTGGGAACGATTGAAAAGCAGAGGTTCTGCTGTCAATAGACCTGGAGTTAGATTTAAAGACGGTTTCAGTGGAAACTAAGGCGCTCCGATGGTGCAGAGGTTCAAGTGCTCTGCTGCGAACTAAAAGGTCGGCAGTTCGTAGCCACCAGCCACTTCGTGGGAGAAAGATGTGGCCATCTGCTTCTGTAAAGATTGCAGCCTTAAAGATCCAGAGGGAGTTCGATCCTGGCCAACAGAGGCAGAATCAACGACAGCAACAGGATGGGTTAGGGTTCCTGCTGCTCTTAGGTGCCATTGTGTGGATTCGGACTCATAGTGACCGTATGCGCCACAGGACAAACCACAGTCCAGCCCTGCACCATCCTCACAACTATGACGTTTGAGCCCATTGCTGCAGCCTCTGTGGCAGTCCATCTCAGTGAGGGGCTTCCTCTTTGTCTCTGACCCTCTTCTTTACCAAGCATGATGTGCTTCTCCAGGACTGGCTCCTCCTGGTAACGTTTCCAAAGGACGTGAGACAAAGCCTGGTCATCCTTACTTCTGAGAGCAGTCGGCTGTATTTCCTCTAGCATAGATTTGTCGGGTCTGCTAGTGGTCCACGGAATGCTGAGCATTCTTCACCATACGCTGGACAATGAATCAGGAAGACGGTACAAGAGCTGATGCACGTGAGAGCCTGAGGCATTGACAATTCTTGGAAGCGAAAGGTCTTGCACACCGGAAGGTGTTGAGAATATGAGGAATATTTGTGACAGTGGCAATTATATTGAGACCACCACCCACTGCCACAGAGTCGATTCTGACTCACAGGGACCCACAGGACAGAGCACAACGGCCCCATCTGCTTTCCAAGGCAGTCATCTTTATGTAAGCAGGCAATGCCATCTTTCTCCCACCAAGCGCCTGGTGAGTTTGAACTGTCGACCTCACGGTCAGCAGTCGATCAATGAGAGAACATTTGATGCTAGAAAAGAGGGTGGGCTCGGTGCCTGAGGCCTCGGCTCAGTGGGATTGTAATTCCATCATGCACCACACAGAGGGCAAGAAAAAATGATGCAAAGGTTGCACAGCTCTGTGAAGAGACGGAAAACCCTGTCAATGAGTGAATTGTACAGTAGATGAATTCCATCTCAATCAAGCTGCTTAGAAAAGTAAACGAAACAGCAAAAATAATACAGGGTGAATGTCAGCAATTCTGAGGGAGAGATGTCCGTGTGTTGAGGGAAAACAGCTTCATTCACACAAAAGAAGAAAGGCCCAGTGTATATGTTAAGCAAATGACGTAAGCAAGTTGGGTCTATTTCTCTCATGCTTTATAAATAATAGCTTTTCTGTATCGATGAAGAAATGGCTTTTAAGAATTAAAAATTAGAATGAATCCCCATATTCACATTGAGATTAGTCTCTCAAAAACACTTGATCTCAAAGCATTTTTCCCCCCAAAGATTTTGGAAAAATCTTTTGGAGGAAAATACAGTTGAGCCATATGTTTATTTAATTTTTCAAATAATATTTTAGTATATTTTTGGTGATGGCATACACAGAAGTTCAGGTTCCCATTCAGCAATGTCTACACGTTGTTCACCGACACTGATTGCATTCTTCACAATGTGTGAACGTTCTAATTCCATTCTGGTTGTTCCAATTCCCTTTATCTAGTTTCCCTGCCTCCTTACATCTTTGTCTGTCTTAAAGTCATGGTTGGCGGTTTGGTCTCAGAAAGGTGATTTTTAAAAGGAGCACAGTAATATCCATTATTTTTTGAGCTGATTTGTTATTTAGTTACAAGTTTCAGTTCATAGTTTAAGGACTATCTCAGAACAGTAATCATGGGAGTCTTCCAGTCCCAACCAGTTCAGTAAGTCTATATTGTTTTGTTTTTAGTCTAGCCAAATTTTTAAATACATTTATTCTTGTATCATTAAAATACTGTGATGGTTGGTCTTAAGTGCCACTGAGTTGGTTCCAACTCATAGCAACTCTTTATAGGGTTTCCAAGGAACAACTGGTCGGTTTGAACTGCTGACCTTGTGGTTAGCAGTTCAGTACTTATCCTATAGCACCACACCAGGACTCTATTACAGTATTCCTTAAAAACAAAACATAAACAAAAAAACGATGTGAGACTGAGATACAATCTGGGCGCTTTGAAGGTGATGTCGTAAATGCGGGGGTCAAAAATGGGTGCTTTCTAGAGCTGTGTATACGCTTACATATTATAACCGGGGGGTGGAGGGGAATAAAAGAGTTCTTCCTCCACCAGATTCAGAAAATGATGTGACACAAAGGATTTCATTGCTGACATCAGATGAATTATACCTGGGAGCTGAGAATACTAGAAGGATGTCTACCTGTCTTTTATTGACTGCACAAAGACATTCAACTGTATGTTGTTGTTGTTGTTAGGTGCCACTGAGTTGATACCAACTCATTGTGACCCTATGCACAGCAGAGCGAAACACTGCCCGGCCCTGTGCCAAACTCATAATTGTTGCTAGACCTGACTCCATCGCCGATGCCACTGTGTGTCAATCCATCTTACTTGGGGGGCGGGGGGGGGTTGTCCTCTTTTCCTTCATCCTTCTACCAAACATGATATCCTTCTCCAGGGACTGGTCCCTCCTGATAATATGTCTAAAGTTCTAGAGACGAAGTCTGGGCATCCGGGCTCTTCAGGACCATTTTGTCTGTATTTGTTCCAACACAGATCTGTTGGTTCTTTTGGCAGCCCATGGCACTTTCAATATTCTCTTCTAACACCATAACTCAAAAGCATCAATTTTGTACGGTCTTCCTTATTCACTGTCCAGCTTTCACATGCATATGAGGTTATTGAAAATACCATGGCTTGGGTCAGGTGCACCTTAGTCCTCAAGCTGACATCTTTGCTCTTCAACACTTTAAAAATTTCTTGTGCAGCAGATTTTCCCAATGCAGTATGTTCCTTGGTTTCCTTTTTTTTTTTTTTATTTAAAGGTTTTTATGTGGATTTGAATAAAAGTTTACAGGGTAGATCATCAGTTTTATATTCAACAAACCATACACCTTGTTTCATTACAATGATTATAATCCCCTCCATGTACCATCAGCTACCAGTGTTTCTTTCCATTCACTTTAGCTTTTTTGTTTTTAAACACTCAGGCATATATAATAATTTACACCATCAAAGGGCACATCCTGCAAGTCTGCCTCCTGGCCACCAGCTCTTAGTCCCTCTGTTCCCTTGAATCTAGAGTCCTCAGCTGCTCCCTCTCTCCATGTCCCCATCTCTGCCTCCATCTTGTGTGTCACTGCTTCTCTGGATAAAGTCCCGCATTCCGCTTGTGCTCTTCTTCCTTGATGGTCCTAGGGTCCTTTGTTTCTGGACTGTAAGATTAACTTCTCCCTTGTTTTTGTTACAAAACCTTTACAGCTGTGAGAGTCGCAATTAGTCATGCTAACAATTACTCACTATTAAATCATATGAATCTTATCCCTATCTCTTTTAACCAGACCCATCTAGACAAGATAAAAACTATTCAGTGGGGACTCTTTCTTTCCCCACACACTATTAAACTAAGCTCCCCCTTGAAATCTTGTAAGCCAGTCACTTTGTGCCTTTATCACCTCCTCATTTTACGTAGCCATTGTGTAAATTGCCCATCCCTATCAGCTCTAGACCTCTGTGGCTATGTCCTTGTCCATAGACCCAGGTGTCCCCAGGTCTCACCATATTTTGGACCAACCAACCCTTCCTCTTCTCTCTCATCTCCAGGTCTGTGGGAGTCTGTGGAATGTGGTTGAACTCAGCCCATTTCTTCATTGTTGCCTTTCCCCCTCTCCCACTCACCAGTAGACCAACATGGGCACCAGAAAGCTTACATGCCTGCACATGTGTTCCCTTGGAGTTTCAATCTTAGAGGGGGGTTTGTCCTGAAGGAACTTGATTGCTTGCCTTGATGGCTTCCTGGTGTACACCTTGCTTGTTCTTATAGTAGCCAGTCATACTACCATTTTTATTTTAGGTTTTTCCTGATGATCTTTCATTGAAGGTGTATCTTCTGTTGCTCTAGCTGTTCCAGGCTGGTCTGCTTGTCCTTTCTAGTGGGAATGTCCCACCTTAGAAAGTTCTGGATAGGGCTCAGGATTCCACCTAAGGTCCTATACACTGTGAAGGCTCCACAAGAGGCCTATTTCACTGGGCAAGTTCTAGAACAGCCCTTTTAGGTATTACAATAAGTTATAGGCTGAAGATGGGCTTACAAGCTTCCTGTAATCATGTTTCCTGACATTCCTTTCTATGTAACTCAAGTTTCAATTTTGCAATAGTAGGAAAGGGAAACCAATATTCATAAGACAGTCAAGCATCTTAGTATTATTTCCCCTCTTCAAAATATGCCTTGATCCTTGTATCACAGAGCCCTGTTGTTCCAAGGTTGAGCATGCATCACTATTTACCTGTGTCCCACTTAGTCCATGCAAACCTGTCTCAGTGCAACCCTATCTACCTTGTTCTTCCACCCCCTCCAACTTCTTGTGTATTGCCCTCCCTAATATTCGAACTATGATGTGTCTACCCCTACCCTGTGCTCTACTGTTGCCTCCCTCCACCTCCCCCAAACACGCCCCCCCCACTCCAACCCCAACAAGGATTTTTTTTCATTTTAGTATAGGTATCTTTTAGTATAGTTGTCAAGGACTTCATTCTTCTTGGATCAACTATCAACACTCGCGGAAGTAGCAGTCAAGAGATCAGACAATGTATTGCACTGGGCAAATCTGCTGCACAGGAACTTTTTAA